TCCCAGTCGATCTGCTTGTTGAGCGGATTGTAGAGAAAGGCTGGGCGAGTCACGCTCCGGAACAGCTCGTCCGGTCCCGGCAGCCGCTTCTCCGCCTTGTTCCCGCAGCCGCCCGACGACTTTGCCGGATCTGGGGTCTTGCGGTTCGTGTCTTCCTGCTCACTGTTATCCTCCTCGCCCGAAGAGTCTGAACTGCTGCTCCCGTACGCCGCGAAATAGCTCAGCGGGTCCTTCTCCTCGGCTGCCATGACGGCGACGCGCTACGACTCCGGGCTCTACCGGAAGTCGGAAGTCGCTCAGGACCCGCCCCGCTGTTGGCCTCGCCCCAAGTCCTGCAAACGGGTCGCTGCTTGCGCCCCCTGGCGGCGGCGTCACGCTTCTACTCCCAGGCTGAGGGACAGGATCTTCTGGGGTCTGAAAATTCCCAACTAAAAGGTTCTTCATTCAGCTCCTTCCTGAAGAGCCCTGAAGAGACAGGAGGCCCTGAGCCAGCGGTACAAGCCAAGCTTTCAGTACTCAATAAGCATTTATTAAAGATATAGAAGACCCAAGAATTTCGTCCTTTTACCGTCATTTCGCTTTAGCCTGTACCAGGGGAACTGGATTTCTTCTTGGTTCCATTGTGGCACTTTTCCAAATAAAAATTAGTCCCAGGGTGGCTTCTTCTGCTGTCACGGAGGACTTCTGGTTGTAGTGGACCCGCTGAGTCAGAAACGGAAGCCTTTCCTGCTTGGCCTCATTCCTCAGGACGCCATCCTGCCTCTCAGGAATTCTCCAAACTCTGGCTTCTCATTGTCGGGCTCTTTCGTGCCTTCTTTGCTCTTTATTTGACCTTCTAGGTTGGTGTTTCCCAACAGATGATACTCTTTCAGCAACACATTTTGTAGAAGATGTTACAAAGTCGCATGTGACAACCCAACAATAAAAATAAAAATGAGAAAACACTTAAGCAAGACACAAAAACAGATATCCAGTTCACCAATAGCAAATAGTAGGACAAATGAGGATGAAAAGTCTGATAGTGAACCAACAGGACTCCCTGGACCCATAGCACAGGAGGTAACAAAATTGATCAATCAGGCTCTAGAAAAATTCAAATCAGAAATAATTTCCCAGCTAGCCAGAGAGATGATGAGCAAAATAGAAGTCATGATTCGAGACTCTAGAGCAGAAACTGACAAA